TAAAAGAATGTGGGAGAAAATGTTTGTTTTTGCCTGATTGCCCTCACTCTCCATGTAAATTCATATATCATGATGCTAAGACATTTCTTCACTAGGTTTAGAAGTTTCTTCCTCGGGGATTCCAACACATACTGAAGACTAACTGAGACATTCAGCCTTATAGACTGAACAGCTATTATATTTCGAGAAGAGAAAGTCGCTATCAGATTAGCTAGACTATAGCCTGTGCGTCAGTCAAATAAGTAACCTTAATTCTATCAGTTTTGCTACTCATGAGAATTCTGACTAATCTAAATGTTAGGGATGGATATCGAAGTGAGTATATCCAAGTTACTGAGAAAGAGTCACACTGATTTTCATTGTGACTGTAAATTTGCACCACCACCAGCAATGAGGAAGAATTCCCTTTTTCTACATCCTAGGCAGCACCAGGTGCCATTGTTTCACATTAGTCCCACTGGTCCAAGAAAATATGAGAACTTTTTCACATCTGGCATACTATTAAAATTCTTTCTTCAGTACTTTAAAGTTTTTTTTAAAGACAAGTCAGAGGAAACACTTCAAGATATTTCCCAAAGAAACTGATCTTACATACTTGATCTTGAAAGCAAAAATTGACAAATGTATGATAGAATATTAGCCATTAACAAGAATAAGGCTCTCTCCTTTAAATTAGAATAGTTGTCCTTTACAGGATATCATTTCAAAAAGAAACAAACCAGAATGATAACAATTACATGTTTTCTCTCTATTGTGAAAAGGGAAAAAAAATAAAAGATCTAAAATAAAATTAGTGATCGCTAAATATTGAGAATGGTGCAAGGATGGGTGGAGAAAGACATGGGCAGAGGAGGTGGTTGGATAATGTACATTGTACTATACACCTATATGGAAGGGCCACAAATATGTGTTAAGTTAAAATAATAAATTTAGGATAGGAAAATAAAATATGTTAACAAAGTGTTTTAGAGACACACTTGATTATTTGCCAAGCAATGACCACACTCTATGAGAGAAAAAAACCTGATTGTTTTTTTCACAGAATGTAAGGCACACTTTGAGGTGTTCTGGCAAACAGAGGTATTCTTCTTAGCTAATCTCCCAGCACAAAAGATAATTAGAATCTAATATTAATGGTAAAGCATGACGCAGTGTTCTTTCAGACATCTTGAATTACTTGGAGGGACCATGTCCTTAGAATTGGCCATTTACTTCTCAATTGCACTAATTATCTAAGAGTGTCATTTATATGCAAACCCTGTGGTGACTTCATGCAGCTGGAACTATATTTCATCCATTTGCTCTGTTGTTCAATTAATTTTCAGTGATTAAGTATGATGTTCAGGTGTTGTGAAATTGTAGGAGTATCAAAATCCTCCTACTAAACCCAGAAAATGTGGATAATATAGAGAACAATGCATAGCATAATTCATACTTTATATCTGTCATTGTCACTAGTCATACCCAACACTACAGGTGATGTTTGTGAAACTTAGGAAACAAACAGGAATTTTACTTATAATAGACACCTATTAGAAAAACGTACACATGGCTTTCTTTGGACTTACATAACAAATGCATATACATGTTCATAAGAAAGTATATATAGACCGCACTCATACACACATTGACTGAAACTTTCTGTTATGACATTACTAGTCATAATATGGCATACATTTTGAATCTCCCATAACTCCTATTTTCTTACTTCTGGTTTTGAGAATGTGAGCTGCTTTATGGAATTTTGTGAGGAAAAAGAAAGACTACAAATATTATCACAGGGCTTGGTGTGGGGCAAAGGCTATGAAAGGAAAAAGAGAGATGTGCTATCAATGATGACACTGTGTGTCACTGTATTTACGTATATAAATATGAAGACTAGTAATCAACAGTTCAATGACATAAAAATAATAACTGTGTATTCTGTTCTCAGTAATGTTTACCTACAGATTGAAATTTCCTTAGAGTGTTTTCTCACATAGTAGAGCTGGGTCCCATATCCTAAATTGTATGTGGTATCCTGAGTTATCATGTTATACAACTATAGCAAACCAGCTGATGTTGTATCTCATATTTTGAATTTTTATTTGATCCCAAGAAATTAAACTATATAGGAAAATATTTTCTGGTTAACCTGGGCAGTAGAAGCCAGCTATGGTTCCCAGTTAGCATTAATGGCAAATAAGGAATATTCTGTAGTACATTGTCTTGTATGATCTTCAGGTATATGAACTTCAACCTTTGTTATTGTAAACATATAATGGGTTTACCAGGAGATAATCATTATAAACAGTATGTTATGTAGCAGAAATGTTGAATACAGTAGTATTAAAATTTTTGATGAAGGCCCAAGAGCTTTTGCTCCATACAAGCATGAAGAGGCCTTAGAAAAGCAGAGACGAGAGAAATGGCATGTGGAATGACCCCACACTGCATGTTATACTATGTAACATACGTTAATCTAGTATATCAAATGCTTTCCATTATAGATTTCTTTAGTAAAATACATTAAAAGTACTATGTCTGTATATTAACAATTAATTCCTTTTTAAAAACACTGTGATGCTGTAGGAATTCCTATAGCCAGTAGCCTTTAAGTTACCCACCCACTTTGGCATTGGCTCTTATACTATATTTACCTTACCCACATAAAGCATACATCCGATCTCTCCTTCAGGGGTATGGTTCAGTTCCTATTTCCCGTTTGTGCACAGAATTGTGATCTGTAAGTCTACTCAAAAATAGATAACCCTTTATTATACTCAATTCTGAGCTAGCATGGAATTTCTTTTCAGTGTCCTTCTTCATCTGACACCCCATGTGGATCTGAACTCCACACCTACCTGGTGGACCAGCGTAAAGGTCTAACCAGTCCACAACCCAGAAAGTTTCCCACCATTGCCTGCTCAGCTTGCTTTTACTACTAAGTGGTCTCCCCACCACCACCACCACAGCAGAGCTAACTGAATGTGGCTCTGCCACCTGGTCTAGCATTAAAATCCTCCAGCCATCACCCTCGGAGAAATCGGCTGTGCAATAACAGTCACACAGTGCATTAGCCCAGGGTGTGGGGGATGTCATAGGTAACTGAAAAGATGGAGAAACCCCACCACTTAGTTACAGATCGCCAGTGCTATTCCAGTAGCTTCCCGGGCTGCAGAATGGGGGAGGGGGGATAACCAGCCATCAAAGTTGTCAGTTCACTGCCCACATCTGCACTGAGTGAAGGCAGAAGGTGAGCTACTGAGCACAAGTCTGCATTCAGTTCACTTTTATGTTCTGGATCTAGCCAGGATGATACTTTATTCTCTGGTAGAAGTTTCCCACTGATAATAGAAAGCAGATAGGCAGGCTTCCTCTGAATGTCTGAGGCATTGTCACCATCTAGAACTGTACTGGATTGGACATAGGAGAGAGAAAAGCGACAAGAGGGTGGGCAGTCATTAAGGAAAGCTGTGTCTCCTGCTTCTGGGCTCTCTCCAAGGTCCATGACAAAGGGCAGTCTAGTCAAACTCCATCCCTTGCCTGTTCCATGTGGTCTGACACTCACATTGTTCTTGCAAGCCCTCTCTTCTTTGGGCTCACACTCCCAGGAAAAGATCCACTCTTTTCCAGACTCAGAGAATTCATGCAGATTGCAAAGTCAGGATTACATTATGAGGAAGGACAGCAGCTTTGCCCCACACAAGCCGTGGGATGCTGGACCTGCAGTCATTGCAAGTGACGTCTCAGAGATACTGTTCTTGGATGCAGGGCTTAATGGTGCTGCCCAGGACATGTCAGGAATTGGATCACCCCCAGGCAGGAACAGACTCTTCTTGCCAAGAGAGCTTTTAGTTCCACCTCCACCCCCAGAGCCAGCACTGGGAAGTGATCACCTAGACAAAGCTGTTGCCAGAGGAAATGTGGCCTCCTGGGGCTCCGGAGAGAGAGACAGAAAAAGCCAACCTCACTCTGACATTTCATTAACAAAGAGACAGGTGATGTTTGGCAGAACTGAGCAAAGGCGAACATTGTTTTCATAGGAAGCAAGCAATAAAGATTTTCTACGTACAGAGTACATTGTGAGAAATATCCTGAACAGAGCAAGGCTCAACAGTGAGTACTCAAAAGCAGTGAGTCCCCTGAAGCGAGAGACTATGTGGCAACATTCAAAAGCCATCGACTGTGACCCCTAGAGGAGGATCCAGATGCTGTCCTCAGGGGAATTGTGTTTTGTTGTGGCTTGGATCTGGACCATCCCCATAGACTCACATTTTGAAAGTGTCCTTTCCAGCAAGTGGTGCTGTTTGGGGAGGCTGGGAAGACCTTCAGAAGCGGAGCCTATCTAATGGAAATAGGTTACAAGGGGACAAGCCTCTGAAAGATATAGTGGCCCACCCCTAGCCTGATCTCTCTGTTTCCTGATCAGCTTCCATATGCAAACCAACAACCACAGCCCCCAGTCACTACAGACAGAATCTCTCTGCAATATATTCACTGCTTTGTTTGGCTGAAATCTCTCTGAAACCATCGACCGACCGAGATAAGTCTTTTCTCTCCCAAGGTGACTCTGCCAGGTATCTCAGCCAGAACGGTACAGAAGTAATTGACATAGACTGAAGGTCATCATCAGACTAGAGTAAGGTGCTCAGAGAGATGCCCAATTCAGAGCAAAGAGCATTAAGACACCCAATGGTATCTATTAATTATTTCTCCGGAGTATGGATTTAGCCTTCTCAAAAAGGTCATTGCTCATTTTCGTAAATTCACAAGCTACACACAATGAAGTCCTACCTGATGTCCAAGCCTAGTGGCTAAATGAGAGCATAGGTGATTATCTAGGCTAAAAATTTGGTTCTAACAGACAGACCTCCTTAGGTATATGAAGCTGCTTCTAAAAATATTTTACCTGGAGTGTGATAGGAAAGCGAGAAGAAGCTCATCAATTAGAAACACACAGCTTGGCCCATCCAAGATACCTGCCACCGAACATGAAGACAAAATGGACAACCAATACCTTCAGTTTTAATTCTTTAATGTACACAGTTTAATTATCAGTTGAGAGCAATGTCATAATGGACTACAAAATGACAGATGTTGAAATGAGAAATTGAGTGAGTGTATAACTCATACTACATAACTTCAAAACAACTCAGTGTTACATGTATTAGAAGCATAACCCAGAGAACAGTGGAACAATTGCTTCAATTAAACACAAAAAGCACGCGGAACTTCAAACAATGAGTATATGGGTCTCTCTGTCAGGATGCTGGGTATTATAGATCACTTTCTATCTCCACAGAAGTAATTTATTGATTGGTATGAATGGCTTTAAAGGCAAAGATGGATCAAAAAGGTCTCCAGTGCTTTTTACCAGACTTTATCTGTAGCCAAAACACAAAACTGCTTTAGATTGTCCATTACTGTAATAGGCAGTTCACCAACCTCGCTCTGACTCTACACAGCAAGGGGAGAGATACAACAAGGTGGTTTAAAACACTTCAGATGGCACCCATTGGCGTTCTCAAGGTATTACTGTGATGAACGTGACTCTTGTTGACCAATTCTGTTTAACCTCCACTATTTTAAGGCTGCTTTTATCCTAAATTACAATGTGTGTACTTTCAGCAGAGCTGTCACTAAGTTTAAGCTTCCAAGTCATTGCTTGTAAGAGTAATCATAAGCAAAATGAAAACTAAAGGAATCCTGTTCATTTTCCATTAGAAATTTTAATTAATACTTAATCACCCTACTTTTGTCCAGAGAAAATGTTGTTTTTATCCCAACTCTTAAGCACTACATTTGAAGAAACCATCCATTGAGCTCTGTTTTCTGGGCTTGTTAGCTACAGCTACAGAGGTCAGATGATGCTGCCATTAGGAAGATGCTCTCTGGAACATGCACATTCTATAAGAAGAAGTGTCAACAATAGCAACAGCATATCTAACCCCCACCAGACAGTTGCTGAAATGCTCTTATTTATTCTCCATGGATACACTGTTTACCAACACGGAAGAACAGAGAATCTCATGACAGAAGGTTTGGCAGGCAATGGAATACTTTCTCTTACAGTCTGTTTTAAAATTAATCTTATGCTTAAAACCTTGGGAAGGAGGAAAATTTCTGTTTAGCTGAGAGAAAGCACTAACCTCTCAGAGATAATCCTTTGTTTCTGTGTAAACATTCTGGTCCAAATCTGATCTTGACAGCCCAAGGTCAAAGAAAACCGCTCAGACAAGCTGTCCTCTAAGGGGCTACTTCAGAGAGAGTCAGGTCAGGTGCAACGATAACCTGCTGATGTCAGATATCAAGGATTTCCTCAGGGCTGCCAAATCTGGGGCTCTTCCAGGAGGAAAGAAAAAAAACTGAACAAATATATTTTCCACGAGTTTCTGAACTAGGGATATAACTATTGAAATGAGGATTTAGAGTATTTAAAGAGAGGCAACAGACCTTTACAAACAAATACCCAGGACTAAACATAAACATTCCTCTGAAACAAGCCCAGGATAAAAACCATTAGGATTAGAAAACACACCATCCGAAATGGAAGCGTGAGGACCATTCTGCTGACATTATCTAAGTGGTGTTTGCTTGTTCTAAGAGGCAATTAGATGTGAGTTTTGGAGATGTGTACTTACTTAAAGGACAATTCTTTCCTTTGGGATTCCTGCACCCACACCCACAGTTGAAAAAAAAAAGCTGTTACGAAAATCAGGAGCAAGAATAAGAAGTCCAAAGAAACATATTCCTAGTTTGAGGAAGCTCATGCAGTTTTTATCATGAGAAGGATTAGAAAATCACTTAATTCTCTAAGTCCCAAGTCAGGAAACTGGTTCAGAAACACAGGCCAAAAGGGGGCTTTTACTGGACTCCAGAAAGCACTATGGGAAGCCAAAGGACTCAGTTTACCAGTAATTGGGCCCATGCAGAATATGCACAAACGAGGGGCCATGTCTGCTATAGTGTAAGTGTAAATCTCAGGAAACTGCCTCGTTTGAGGAACAGTTGGCTAACCCTCTTGCAATCCATAGGCTAAAATCTATGTATCATTAGCAAAAGGATAAAGAAATATTGTCCCAAATTGGTTTTCACTGACTAAAGATGAGCAAGGGTTAATGTGAGTATTTGCATGGCTGGTTTCCCTTCTACAATAACACAAGCCTGGTTATCAAGCAAGCAAAATACAGACATTTTTATACCACCATGCCCTATAACCAGCTCTTAGAGGAAACACTGCTCAGCTTAGAATTTATATGACTCTTACATGCCTTGAGTGATGTAGGTTATAAATTAATAATTTTGAAGCTTTGCTCTCCCCCCCCCCTCTTCTTCACGGTAACATCCATGATTTAAAATGTGGATCTCATTGTTAGTAACTGAAAATATAAGACTAATTTCACAAACAGAGTATCTGGTATGATGGCTAAGGGTTTAGAACTTAAAACAAATCTCTGAACACGAGCTGTTAGATGAGTGAGGGTTTAGAACTTAAAACAAATCTCTGAACACGATCATCCGCTGCAATCCTCCATTTTTCCTACCTTTGAGGTTGAGGGGATGCACCTCCTACAGGATGGTTGTGAATATGACACAAGTGAGAGCTGTCATGTGACAGAGCCGACACTAGGACTTAGACCATTGCCTTGTCAGCTGCTGTGACCACAGAACCTAGATCAGTGCTTAGAGGACCACGGCTACCTAAGGAGAGAGCTGTTAGATGAATGACTGTTGGTCATTGCACCGGGAATACACTCATGCATCAGCTGGAGAATGGTTAAATGTATGATTCTTAAAGCATTAAGAAACATCATGTAAACTATTACTAAATCATAGTCAAGATGTATCTAGATCATTCTTTTGCCTCTGACATGACCTTAGCGAACTAACAAGACACCAAGACAAAAGTCTAATCCTAGCCCTAAAAACCTTTAAACCTTCCTCATAATGAGTCCATTTAATCTTCATAGAATCCCAAACTTTCCCAATCTCCATCACACACGATCTCTAAAAGTTATCTATTTCGGCAAGTAATATTTGCATTCCCTCCTCTCCCTCTGGCCTTCCCTTATTCATGTTTTCTTAGAAACAGACTGTCTACACTTCTTTTATCCTCCTGGTGTTTTGATCCCAGTGGGGACAGTTTCCCACTGGGGATCCCACCGCTCAGCATGAGCAACTCATCTTCCCGTGACGGGCAAGAGGGTTAGTCCCACAGAGCAAGCTCCTACTGCCTACAGACGAGAGTCTCATCTGACTGGGTACTGTTCGGAGTCACAGTTTCTCTTAGTGTTACCTTCTTGATTGTTCAAGGTAAGGTTTTTTTTTTTTTAGACTTTATTAGGGTGTGTTCATTTGTAAAATGATTCATGTTTTAAACTATTTCCTATTTCTTTTAAGAAAAAGTTTATTTTTATGTGGCTTTCTTAAGAAAAGAAGCGTTTAGGCCTCTCCTTCTAGTCCCCTCTCTATATTTTGAACATCTAGGGTAATATCTATAAGCTTAATTTAGGACACATATTGTTACATACACCCCTTTTTAATAGCATCCATGTTCTCTTTCCTAATTTGACCCAGTGGCTCAAAATGAAAACTCAGGTGACTTTGCACATCGTGTGTGACTGTAGACCTTTTGCTATTTTGTGTCAACATACAAAATCCTAATCCGGAACTTTCTATAACTGAATGAAAAAAAAGAAAGAAATGAAAACTTCAAGGACATGACTACTCCTAGATATGGTGGAACAGAAAGTTTACTGTGGATACAAGGAGAGCATAATCTGAAGAAAAAGGCATCTGGGAGAGTCCAGAGTAGACATGACCCTGTGCCACCTGAGGAGAGAGGGCAGAGGGGAAAAGAGAGGGAAGAGAGTTGAACAGGGTAGCTAAAAAGTTGGGTTATATAGGGAAAGGTCACTGGTGTAGGGCAGCTCAGCCACTGAGCTGGAGAGTTCAGGATAGAGGGTGGGGCCAGGGTACACTAGCCATACCCTGTAAGGGGAGGGACTGAAGGATACTGGGAGAAGCTGACAGTCAGGCTATCATGCTTTGTTAGATAGCCACCTCATCCATTTGACCATGGTTGAACACGGAGCAATAACCATGTGAAAAGAGCCGTAAAAGAAGCAGTCCTTTCCTCTGAATAAATGTTGCCTCCTGATGTGTGATATACAGGTAAATACATCTGCTGCTACAACCATTTTCCTACTCTGAAAATGTTGAAATAGCATGCAAGCTATATTCTTTTTAACTGGGTGAATGTGATTTCTTAATAACGGAACAGTTTCTGGTTTTACAACAAAAATGGCTGTTTGATCACTGACCGTGTATTAGGTCGGTCATCTTAACCAAGGACAGGCTGATTAAAACATGTGGATTTCATTCAAATTCAGGTTCTGTTGCCTATTTTGTCCACCCAGAGAATTGCTTATTACAATACTGAAACAGAATGGTCGATTTCACCAGGAAAATTCTCAGATCTCATTTCTCTCACATTGCCACAGTGCAGAAGTCTGTATCCATGGGAACTACAATCCCCAGCATCAAAATGAGACACCAAAGAAGATCAGAATGCTTGGGGAAGTAGAAAGTCTGAAGGAATGACTCTGGTGGAAATTGAACTATAACTTTAACCAAAGTCCTGAAGAATATGTTTGTGTATTTATATATGGGGTAACCTACCAGGAAGAGATGTTGGGGAGATGACTGGGGCTTGCTTTTTGCCAAGAGGTGGTAACTGTGTAGTTTGTTTATTTGTTTGCTTGACTTTGTCATCTAGCAGAACATTGTAGACATTTGAGAAGATGCTGAGTGCAAGGTTAGGTAACATGAGATCACGTAGAAAGTGAGGCGAGTGAGGCGATGTGTGTGTGTGTGTGTGTGTGTTGATTTACATTAATATGTGTGAATGGATGTAGAATTTATAAGTCAACATTGTATATCTTCCTCAAACACTCCCCATCTTACGTTTCTGAGATAAAGTCTGCCACTGAACCTGGAACTTGCATATTTGCCTGGACTGGCTGGCCAGAAGCCCCAGGGACCTTCTCCATCTGGGACTAGAATTATAAGGGTACCCCCATTACCTGGCTTTTTATGCAGGTAAAGGTAATCAGAAGCCAGAGCTCCATGTTGGCATAGCAAGCACTCACAGCCCGAGCCATCTCTCAAGTCACCAAAGTGAAGGTTTAAGAACCCAGTTTCATCTTTCCCATTGTTGAAGCTTATCCTTTTCAGCAGCCTGCTGTTGAATCTGGGGAGCATTATTATCTTGGAGGCCCTAGTGGGAACTTAATTACATAGTCACAGTATTAGGTTTTCCATTTATAATGAATTGAAAGCTGATCTTTGAAATTAGCCTTCAATAAAAGGTTATAAGAATAGGCCTCGGTGTTCAGCCACAGTTTCCTTCATGAGACTTCATGAGGAGCATATGTGTTATACTGATGCTAAGAGATTTCCCAATCTCAGATGGCACATGGGAATATTAGGACTCTAATGTACCTCCTAGCACATTTAGAGGCTACACTCAAGCCCTAAGAGAAACAGGAAAGAACGATTGACCATGTAGTTTAAAATTTGATGCTTTCCTAATTTCCTGGTTTAATCTAAAATTTCTAGAAACTTTAATAGAAAGATATAGTATAACCTAACACTTAAAAGATGAAACTTTTATTTATCAACTTTTATATTTGATGACCTCATGATTTTCCGAATTACTCTGAATCTAGAATACTTTGAACCTAACATCACACTTGGTGACAATGTAGATGGTGAAGCAGAGATGGAGCTGTCCTTGGAGATAGTATAAATCTTCTTTTCCAGTACATATTTCTAAGTAAGAGAAATGGAATTAATGTCACTAGAAAGGACAGGTGAGTTTTTCACTAACCAAGTCAAGAAAATGTAATGTGATTTCAAAAGCTGCATACTGAATTATCAAGTTAACACTCCCATTAAAAATTTCCCAGATTTCTACTGCAGAAGAAATGCCTCCATATAAATATGAATATAGAATACTTATTGTCCAGACTTATCTAATTGCGCTCTGTGCTGCAAGATTTGCAAGTACCCTTCCACCCGTTCCTTATCTGTAGACGTTCACACATTGCCCATTGTTTGAATCCAGCCAACATACTGTCACTGCAGGTGTTTCTCAGGTAGACAGATGTCCTGCTCAGCTTTACGCCTCTTGTTTTTTTTTTTTTTTTATTACACCTTTGATTGCTGCAGAAAAATGTACTCCCTGGGCATTCACTAAGTAAAACATTTTATTGTTTTGTTTAATTATAGCTATTTATTTTGAGCTTAGCTGGAGCACTATACCAAAGTGAAGTCCTCGATTATATCTCACTTTGGGTAAAGTTATCTTGTATTTGTATCATTTAAAATTATTTCTGTTTTTATTGTTTTCTTCCAAAAATACATGCTAAGTTCCAATATGTAGAAGGATGATGTGGGGCCAAAGGGACAGTAGATTTGCAAAGGAGGCTTATGATTCTGGTCTATGTAAGGTCAAGTAAGACCTAGTATATAAAGCTAGTTGTTTGGTTGTTTTTGTCTATTTTTAAGAAATTCATTGTTCCCCAAATTATACATCTATATTGTACCCAATATATTATTTATATGCTAAAATTTCTCTCTACTGAGTACAGAATACTATGGTAGCATTTCAATAACAGAGGGCCTCTATTTGTCCCAATTATGCCAACATTGCCTAGAAGACCGAATGCCCTTCTTCTCTGCTTCTCATTGTGAGAACCCACATTGTCCAGAATAATTATTATTGTGGGAAATTCCTTAGTGCATGGTGAGGGAAGAAATGAATAAACTTTCTCTACCTCCTACAAAGTTTTATAAAGATCCCAGACAACCACCCCAGAACTTTTGAAGAATGAAATAATTTAATATATTAAAAGAGTTATTATTCACCTCAATAATAGACTAATACCTGCTAAACCTTTCCTTTCTTTTTTGTTCGATACAATAAGCAATGAATTCCCAACATTTATAAATCCTTTTGGTTCCTGGACAAGTGGCCTTCTTAACATCAACTTATGTTACATATAGAAATATTAATTGATAAATTGAAAGTTCCAAAATGACTTTTCAAGAGCAGTGTTGTAAAAGTGAAGAGCTTCAATTACAGGAGATAAAGTAAAATGAAATAAACTGAGAAACCACCCTTGGACTGTGGCATGGTGAAACTGAAGCATTGCTCCTCCATCACAGCTTATACACAGCAATGTGTGAAGACAGAGAAGGAAATAAAAGGGAAGATGAAGTATTAGGAAGACAAAGGGCTATCAAGATTATGTACCACACTCTCAGGCTGCTCCAGAGTCCGTCATAAACTCAGCTATAGATAATCATACTCAATGGACATACAAAATAACCCCAGTGACATTTACTTAAAGGTGGATATTAAAATCACTGCAAACTCATTGTGATTAACTCAGCTTCATTGTTGGGTGGTAGATTTCACTCAGTGCCAAAAGGTTTTGCAAAATGGTCTTTCATTTGAATTACGATTGCAAATTGATACAAAGAGATTTTTAGAATCGTGCAAAATTTCCTTTCGCGTCCTCCATCGTCGACTTACTCTACGCCCTAACTCAGTGACTCATTTCTCTAGCAGAAGGGCTGGTTGTGTAGCTCGTGAGTACACCACTTGCCCAGCATGTTAAATGTTGCTTGAGTCCCAGTACCAAAGGAAAAAAAAATCAATAAACAAAAATTCCTTTCTGCAATGGATGATAACTCTACATATGTGTATCTGGACAGGCGCAACATGAAGAGTAACGACCTTCTGAACACATAGAAATCAAAGGCAGAAAGAGCATCCAAAATCTCTCAGCCTTGGAGTGTCACCAAAGCACTTATTTAATAACATGGCTGACTTTCAAATTCTAGTAAGAAGCTTGACCATACACATTTGGCTATAGTCAGCTGACCAACTAATAATGGGTAGGGATGTCTCGAAATTGAAAATTCCTTCTAATGGGCAAAAATGACACATCTCTGGCAGGTTAGGTACCAGGTTAGGTCTGTTGAAGAAAGTATGGCACTAATTGGGAAAATAGTTGATAAATTCTCTTGGGTTTAATGAAAGGCCAGTGAAAAGCTTCTGACAAGTGGCTTCCCTCACAAGGAAAAAGAGTGCATGAAACCCAAACATTTTGTAATGTGCATCAGCTATTCCCTGTGGAGGGCAAGGCTAAGATGACACTTGTGAATTCTATTCCCTAGTACTACCTGCAGGTTAACTGGGCTGTGCTGGCTATAGAGAGATGACAATGGCAGGACCCCAAATACACATTGTGTACCATGGCCTAACCCCAATGTTTTATGTTATTTATGAGCGTAACTATGTAAAAGTTAAAGAACCAGTGCACTGTGAGATAGAGCAGTGTGGTTGGCTTGGGGTGTGGCAATGGGCACTTGTGTGGACTAGGGCTTCAGTAGACTTCTCTCCCTCTAAATTCACTCATGACTTGAACGGGGTGAATCTTTTTCTTGGCTGAGCCTCTTCTGACAGCCGCATATGTTTCTTCTGGCTTCTCTCTTTTAATCAAGGGCTTTTTAGCCGGAGCCTTCATTCTCCACATGACAACTGGGTGTCGGGGCCCTGCCGCACTCTGGATACGGATGATCTTGGTGGAAGCAATGTACGACATCTTCACTGTTTGCACTACAGCGTTCATTAAATTTTTTGCTGCCTGGATCAGGGAGGTGACACTGTCCAACTGTAGGAAAGAATAAAGAGAAAAGCTACTATTTAAAAATGCAGTTAGGAACGTAGAAATTGAGGATTTAGAAACTGACAGTGGCATTTTACTTTGACTCAAGAAATGAATGAGCTAGTTCTTATTTTACATTTCCATATGCAATAATCTTCATCATTCCATCCTATTATTTGTGAATATTTATCTGATATATAAACAAATTCATATTTTATTTTAAATGTGGTGTCTTAGAAGGGTAAATTTCTTTCTCTTTATTTGCAAGAAAGCCCCCACACACACATACACACACAGTACAGGCAAAAACACACATTATGTTTTTCCCCTTGAGTATTTCTTAAATAATCACACTTAAATGGGTCTCTGTCTTAACACAGAACTGTTATTCTACTATAGAAATGGTTAATATAGAAAGAATGGAAGGTTGTAATAAAATTGAGTTTAAAGTCCAGATTCCCTTCTTGGCAACCTGGAGAAATTATTTAATTAGTTTTATCAAATCAGTTAATTCAGAAAAAAATGCATATTAAATATAAAGCAATACACGTAAGAAACCAGTACGTTAGCTGCCACAAAGTTTGTTAGAATTACGTAGCAGTACCTTTGCAACCTATAAGGACTGGCAAATTACTTTCAGAGATGTGTGCACGAAATTGCTAAAAATACCTTGTCTCACATGATTTTATTTGTTAAATGTCTGGGATGCTATTCATGTAAACAGTCTCTGGAAAAAAGCATGGAGTGACATTCCTAGAATTTTCCAGAATCCCTCAGAGATCAGCCAAGTCGATTCATTTTTATACAGCCACTGTTTTTTCAATTATTTTCGTTTGGCAGATTGTCATCTGCAGCCAACTCACATGGGGCGATATGCCTCCGCTGCCAGCCCTCTGTGATAGGAGCTGTCAGGGCTGAGGCTCAAAGGCTGACTCTGTAGTTACTGAAACCCATCAGCAGCTGCTGGCCTGAGTGTTCTACCTCTGCTTCTCTAAGAGCTTCATCTCACACACAGAATCAGCAAGTGAGGTAGAGTGGGGAGCTGTGGTTGTGTGCCTGGGGCTGTGGTCTAGCTGGCTGCTTTCCTGCAAGAAAATTTAATTAGCTCCATAATTTGCCAAGCCTGAGATCCTTGAAAAAGTAACACCAAAACCATATGATTTTAAGGCAGCAATATTTGTCAGCTACATAAGCGTATATATTTTTGCATATATTAGTTTATATAGTATGTATTTTACTTAATAAAGGCAGGGCAGTGAAACCTGTGTACAGGGCAAAAATGACAAATGATGGACAGACACTAACCAAGGTTTTAAGTACTCACAAGTGTTTTAGGAGGAGGTGTGTGTGTGTGTGTGTGTGTGTGTGTGTGTGTGTGTGTGTGTTTATTGCTGCTGCTGTTGTTTGTGTACATGGAAGCCCATGCATGCGTGTGTAGACACTGGCCGTCATCATCTTCCTCTACCATTCCCTACCTTATATTCTGAGACTGGGTTTCTCACTGAACTCACTGCCTGGCTAATGCGACCGGCCCATGCACACCTCTAATCTTGGAGGACATTAGGCAGCTTCTGCATCTGCACACAACCTTATAAAAACTATTAAATGTTAAACAGAATAGCAGGAGTCATTGTTCAACTACCAATATATGGCAAAATCAAATCTTCCCTTTTATAATGGTTTACATTAAAAGCCTAGTGCCAGGAATGAGTTGCTTTTTTAGGACTTGTTGGACAATGAGATACTTAAGATCTCCCCCACTCTCCCTCCCAAAAAATCACAAGCTTTGATAATGCATTTGGTTACCTTCCAGAACTTGATGATTAGACCCATTTGCTGGAACAGACAACTGGAAAAATCAAGCTGACACTAACCTGGAAGCTTCGTCCCAACTGGTTAGCTTTCATAGTGCTGGGAAGGGCTATGAACACTCCCAGAAGTTAGAAAATGCAACTGATATTCTCACTCCGCCATGAACCTGGTGAGCTATGAGAATGATTGGCCTTGGAAGACGTGTGCATTGGTACAATAGTATCCCAATGTTGTGAAATCCGACCAGAAAGACTTAAGGCTCAGCCCACATGAAGCTCATATCTGGCATCATTATCAAGCAAATAAACTATGGCTAGACAGGTCAGAGACTATGGATGAGAAACTGCTGCTATTATTTGGCTAAGTAGACAAAGTATTACATTGGCTATTGATGACTTATAACTATACCCATAGAGTAAGGCATCTCTCAGCCCTCATCAGAGATGTTTCCATTTGCAGTTGACAATGATGAACACTAAGAGTCACAACCCATCAGGTGCAGAGAATAACAGAGTGCGGAATGATCAGTTCTAAAGAGAAGACATGTGTTGTATCCCCTTCCCCACAGACGAACAGAGGTATGTAATTAGCTTAGAAGTCAGAGAAAGTAGATGACCACGAAATAGTGTCTTCGGAACACAGCAGGAAGCTTTACATATGAATTCACGGCCATTGTGAAAGCACACAGAAGACCTATACAAGCCCACTTCCGGAGGATATGCCAGCATGGAGAGGCTGGGTGTTCATGCAGCTTCTCCTCTAAGGGGCTACCAGCAAGCATTAGCTAGGAAGAGAGGAGGTCAGTTTTTGCTAAGAGTGTAGCCTCTGAGAAGTTAACTGTGCTTTTATGCACAGACCACACATCAACAAATATGTGGGAAGCATAAATTGGCCTCAATGGGAGAAACAAACAGGACACAAAATTCATCAGAAAGGAAGATGGTTCTGTGAAGAGTTGGAGGAGGGAGAAAGAATATGGTCAAAACCTGGGGAAATGAGGAGCAGAAGGAGGAAGAAAATGAAAAAGGAAATAAGGACTGCGAGGGATGCGATCACCCACTGATACAAGGGGACGGATCTAATGAGAGTTTACCAAGGCCAGTTGGACTGGGACTGAACGAGGACGCAATCCAACCAGATTCTCTGAATGTGGCTGGCCCGGAGTCTT